TGTGTGTGTGTGTGTGTGTGTGTGTGTGTGTGTGTAAACCTAGCACATTAAGTAAATAAATTAGATTTTTTTTGTTGTAACAACGCTTCTTGGCAATAAATCTTACGCTGTTGGAAAGTCTGTTAATTTCTCTTTTAAATGGTGCCACATTTGTAAGGAACATGCATTTGTGGGATGAGCAGTAGAGCTGAGGATGAGGGTTGCACATGAAAAATGAGCCAATTCTCTTGTCAAAAAGCTTATTTTGCTGTTATTGACACTTGTTTTGAGTTTCTGGCACCCCCAGGTGACCAATAACATTCATTGCCAAGAAGCATTGTCACAAAGAAATAATCTACCAAACAATAATTAATTTGCTTTTAGTTTGTAAACATTTTTTTAACGTGTGGAGCTTCTGCAGCCTGAGCCACCTCCCTCACCTCTCCTTTTGGTCATTTGGACATCAGCGGGGTTAAATCAGGACACTGCAGGTGTCCAAACACACGGAGCAAACTCAAACAGAACAGGCGAGCGGGCCGAGGCGCTCATAGCACCCCTGCTTCTCCTGGAGTTCATTCAGTTCATCTCCGGTCGGCTCAGTCTGAAAAACACAGAAACAAAACCAAGGTTTCAGGATTTAAAGTACAGAAAAATAGAAGATTTCCACCCTGAGAAGCTTTTTATCTTTTATATAAAAACAGGACGGATGTTGGACTCTTTCTAAATCACATTTAAAGGTTAAAATCTGGTCGTTTTCTTCAGCCGCTCCTCTCTAACAGGATGTGATTATCAGACCGTCTCTACGTTGAATGTTTTATAAAATGTTTTGTTTTGTTGAGGCTAACGACCGGGACCATCTGGCGCTGGCTGACGTCATGCAGTCCGAGCCGTCCGAGGGTCTCCTCGGGAACCGGCTGCCAGAGTCCACATCTGGTTCTTCTCCAGCCGCGGCCTCGTTCTGGTTCCAGCTCCGACGAGCTCCCACGCACGGCCCCGGCGACAGCTGAGGTCCGTTTGTTCCGACGCAGCTGCTCGGAGCAGAGCGTTGACCAACGCAGAGCTGCGTGTCAGGAAGTAAAACATTCTCTCGTTCAGACTTCTGTCCTGGTCAGAGCGGCTCTGAGAGCGGCGACGTCTTCTCCCGCCATTTTTGGAGGGAGGAGCTTCCGATACTCTTTCAAGTTTTCTACTCCGATTGTTGACTTTGCGTCTCAGCTGATCAGAATTAGGGATGTAAGAAAATATCGATACATTGAAATATCGCGATATTTCATTTCCCGATACTGTATCGATATTCTAAAGCCCTGTATCGATGTTTTATTAAGGTTTAAAATGTTAACTTTCCTGCCAGCCGTTCATTTTTATGTTGTAGTTCAGCCTCTGACCACTAGTTGACAGCAGTGAGCCAGCCATTTGGCTCCTCTACCTCTTGAGGTAGAGGCTATTGTTAAGTGTTGGRTGACCATATTGTAAATTAATATTAAAAACTAAAAGYTGCAAAAAATATATTTTCAAACWATTTATTGGCAAATTTTAGTCTAATAATCGAAAACATGGATGAAATATGAAACAAATAAAATAAAATACATACAAAGCAGAACACAGCTAAATGTATCAAAAGCATGTCTGTAATATTAGAATTTTCTGAGACAATGAATTTTGGGTTTTTCTTTTTTTTTCCAGTAAGAGGTTTTTATTTAATAGAATTTTTGGACAAAAAAAATCGCAATATATCGCAATACTTATCTTATATATCGCCTTGCTTACAGTATCGCAATATATGGGGATATATCATATCGTGACTCCTCTGTTATGATATGTATCGTATCGCCAAATTCTTGCCAATACACAGCCCTAATTAGAATCAAAACAAAAACAAGTTTGCGTTTTAATCTAAATATATCTTGTGTTGGAAAATGACAGACTTGTAGCTGCTTTTGGTCAAAACTTGACATAGACTTTGGCGGCCATCTTGAATTTGAAAAAAGAGATAGAGAGGGAGGTAAGAAGATATGAGAGAGATGAATTAAGAAAACACAAAACACCACATTTGAATTAAATTTGAATATTCATCCAATAACTACTACTGTCAGTAACTACGGTCCAGTGAGGAGAAAAAAAGAAGTGTGGATTAATGAAGAAACACCTGTAAACTGTGGAATAACAACATTAAATACTAGAATAGTCCCTGGAGAAACTTAGTTTTTGCCTCTTGGTGCAGGATTATTTTCAACACAGTTTTTAGGATTTACTCATGGCTACCACCGCACCAAATTTCACCTCAATTTGAATCAAAATGGCAGCATTATGGTAAGTTTTTTTTTTGTTATGGCAGCCATCTTGGATTTTTGATTTGGCTTCAGTGTGCGATGGGGGTCATTCTCAGCTCTAACCAAATTTCAACCCAAAATGTGTTAAAATAACTGAGTTATTGCAGTTTCAAATTAGCTTTGGTGACCATTTTGGATTTGTATGAAACCGTTACTAAATCTGTAAACTCTGAAATAACAATATTAAACATTAGAAATATTCAAACCAGTTTTAACATCAGTTTTTAGTATCTGTTACAGCTTCAACAAAAGAGAGCATCATCTGCTCAACAACAATACAGTGATTCTCTGCCAAAGTTGGAGAATGAAGAATTACAGACGAAACTGTTGAAATAATCTCAACAAGCCGCTTTCATCAACTCTCCGCTCCTCGGTAAAATGGTTTCGTTATTTTTTTTAAACTCGACTCGGTGGATCAGCGTGCACCGACCAGGATGTGCCACACAACTGACAAAAAGTTAAAAAAACGTTTAAAAAAACGGCTGGGCTGAATACAGCGTCCAACTATGCGTCATTAATCATTTCTGCTAAAGCCAAGAACAATAGCTGGACTCTGCAGGCGGAGAACAGCTGCTTCCAAACGGAAAAAAATTTACTGTTTTTTAGGCTCCGTTTTCCTTTAATAATCAAATTCAGATGCAAAACCTGAATCTGCAAAAAAAAAAAAAAAAAAAAAAAAAGAGAAAACTGGGGTTCTGTAGAGTCGTTACGGGTAGTCAGTATCCTACCTGCAGCAGAAAGCAATCAACGCTATCTCAGTTTGTTTAATTGGCAGCTGCCTTTAACGTGTTTGGAGAAGGACTCTCAAATAGTTCCATTAAAGGTTTTAGCTCAATAAAAACCCAACAGGTTGTGGCTGTTTTTGTGTTTGTGTTGACTGCTACTACTACACTTCAACAACAAAGTAGATATGTTTACACGCGCAAAATTCTTTGATAGGATTGAAATGTATTCGGATTAAATAATCAGAATGTATCGTTTACATGGGAATCCGATCATGACGAGTGTTTACAAGCACCAGGCTTTTATTCAGAATAAAAGCACTGACATTGTTAACTTTCCATAAAAGAAAAAAACAAAACAAAATAGTTCTACTTCTGTGATGAACATAAAAAATGTATTCTGAGCACTCAGAATGGACCCGCGACAGGTTTTAATAATGTTGAAGACGTTACTGCACTCCCTGGTTGAGCTGCAGGTGATGCACGGATTTCTTTTCTTTCTTTTTTTTTGTGAAGCGGCGCAGGCTGTATGTCGTCTTTCATTATTGAAGGAGAGAACGGGAGCAAAGCCATCTTTATTTTTTAGCAACATAAATCAGACTGTCGTCAGTATAACAATTAATAAATTATGTATTAAAATTCTATGAGTTGGTTGATTATATTTTTCAGGGTATTTATAAGGCTCATAAAAACACGTTACCTTTAAACATTCAATTAAAAATTAAGAAAAAGAGTTGTTACAATCTTAAAGGGATAAAGATGTTTGTGAAACCTAAATTTTGAACCAGATTGAAAGAACGGTGTATGCTAATTCAAGGAATAAGACCATGGAATAATCTGGAGAGTGTTGAGAGAATGTTTTTTGTTTTTGTTATTTGTAGATGATTAATGTTTGAATTCGTTTTTTGGAAAGTGGGGGGGGGGGGGCAGATAAGATTTTTCTCTTCTTTCTGAAGCCTTTCATTTTATTTGTGATTTTTTTTATTGTATATAGAATTTATTTTGTTTTTGTAAGAAATTAATAAAGTCTAAATAAATAAATAAATAAATAAATAAATAAAGATCCTAAGCTTCCTGAGTGTTGAACCCAAAGGAAGCAACAAACAGGGGACTGAAGATTGACCCCTGTGGAACACCAAAAGACCGTGGAGCAGTTTAGGATTCATAGTTGTGTTAACACACCGATAGGACCTAAACCAGTTTAGATAGATACAACAAAAACTGTAAATAATATCCTAAAATATTGTGGCCCACTGCACAGTTAGGTCAAGCAGGACAAAAACCACTTTCACCAGAACCACTCGCCTTAAGGACGCCGTTAAAACCTTTTAAATTGAATCTACTTACTACTTTCCGAGAGGTTCATTAAAATCTAACCAAGGGTTCAGAGATTCTTTGTTAACATTGCAGACAAACTAACATAATGTCTTATTTCTGTCATTTTGGGACACTATACCCCCAACCCCAAAAAACGACTTTCTAACATACCAGGTTTTGGTTCCCTTAAGGACTGCTGGTCCTGACAAAATAAGGAAAGAGAAAAGAAGGAACAAAACCCGAAGAGACATGAGCAAAAATATTATCTACATTGATTTATTCAGAATTACCTGAAAAGGTCTGAGAAAAGAAGAGATGACAGAAAGGACAGTAGAAACTGAAAAAGACGGGGAACAGGAAAACAGCAACGCTAAAAAGAAAGAAATCAAGATGTGATTTTAAAAGAAAACAAAGCCAGCAGCAGGAACAAAGCCAGGTAGGAGGAGGGAATAAAAGGCAAAGAAATTTTCTTAACTCCTGGCGATAATCGTTCTGCATAATAACCGATTTAGCCGCTAGGCTCCAATAAAACACCCAGGTGGTGCTCACTTTTCACGCTGCGTTTTCAGGCAAATCTGCTTGTCATTGTTCTGCGGAGCTGGACTTGTTGTTCAGCTGCTGTAAGAATCCTGAATAGGGGGTTCAGGAAGAAAATGGCTGGAAACATGACTGATATCAGGGCGTCAAATGAAGCTGTGATGGTTTATAGGAGCGGTTCTTTCAGGCTCGGTTTTACCATGTGGGAACATTTGTTTTTAATTATTGTTTGTAGTTTCAGCAGTGATTTGTGACAACAGGGTGGCAGCAGAGGTCAAAGGAAAGGTTCACAATACAGCACTGAGAGCAGCTGGGATGTATGGAGTGGATTGACAGCAGGACTGTGGTGAGATGTCCTGTAGATGGACATATAGTGGGACAGCATCAAGGTTTGACAGAGCTGAAGTCTGAGGTTCTCCTCGATAGCGATGAGGACAGATTAGGGTTAGGAATGAGGTCATCAGAGACCAGACTGAGATGGTTTGGACATGTCCAAGAGGAGAGACAGTTGGTATATTGGTTTGGACATGTCCTAGAGAAGGGACAGGTAGTATATTGGTTTGGACATGTCCTAGAGGAGGGACAGTTGGTATATTGGTTTGGACATGTCCAAAGGAGGGACAGTCGGTATATTGGTTTGGACGTGTCCAAAGGAGGAACAGTTGGTATATTAGTTCGGACATGTCCAAGAG